AAAGTATGTAAATTCCATTGATTAGCTTCGAATAAAAAGTCAAAATAAACAGTTGAAAATTTTATCTAAATAGCTAATCTCAGTTTTTTATGATTATTTGCACGTGTCGGGAAGTTAATGCAAATTGCCTCAAGGCAAAATATCACATACACCAAGTTATTTTAGTTAAATAAAATCATGAGTTCATACAAAAACGCATTACATCAAATTAAAAATTCATTGAATTGAAATATAATTATTTTCGTAGTTTGAGAATTAAGTGAATTCAAATTTTGCGCTTGGATTTAAGTTACTACTAGCTCCATCTTATATCAAATTCCGCAACGTTCACTTTGACATTTCAATTCGATCATATGTCAATTCATTTGACAATTTGTATGTTTTGAAATGGAATATAAACAATGATACCGCCAAATGCAGTTTGTTTTTAAATATTTTGAACAAAATCAAAATATCTAAACACCTGTGTTCATTGCGAACTCGAAGTACGTAGTCAAACAACTCATAAAAAACACCATAAAAGTGTGTGTGTTATCTCAATAAAAAAAATGTCTTGAACTTTGATAAAATCATTTGAGTGACGTATATTTGGGTCATTCGAATATATTGATTAAAAACAATATAATTGTTCATCGCAGTTGATTCTGTATTAATAATATCGATTATTTTTCAGTCGCCAAAATGGTGTTGTTGAGTAAATTTAAACCAATTGATACTACTTGTATTGAATATGTGCACCCTTGGACAAATAGTTGTTCTGATGCCTGTGCTGATTTAACACTTCAGGCTTTCGAGAGGACCATCAAAATATATACAGTTGCATATACAGTAAGTATGAGATACATAGTATTAGAATCTTAGTCTTCAGAATCTAAATCTTTTTCTATTATATATACATATGTATAAAAATCTAAACAAAAATGCGATTCTATTTCATGTAGTTATCAAGATGGAAAATAGCACACATACCTTTCATGATTCATTGTTGAGCTGTAGATGCATCTTCGAGTGAAATATCCCATTCAACATCACAAAATATAAGCTTATAAGCATATCAGTATTTTTTGACTTTCAATAAATATACTGTGAAAACCAAATTTATTTTTTACGCCTTTGCAAGTGTGAAGTTGTGTTGGTCCTTTTTACCCCAGCCACACCTTTATAGACGCTGTATAAAAAATCTTTTAAAAAACAATTAAAGTATACTTATAAATTATATTTAGATATCGTAAATTTAGGTGGACGATTTTATCTGTAGAGCTTCAAGCCCCGCTTTACTTTATATTAATATCTATATGTACTTACATTTTAATTCCGCAAGAAATGTCTTAAAACAATTTGAAAGTGTTAGAGGTGGTCAACCCGTAATGAAAATAAAATGTTTCTTGAACAAAAAAAAATTAAGCTTCATCAATAATTTCAGTCAAAAACGTTCCCTAACAGATATTGGTATAAAAAATGTTGCAAATACTATTTTTCTTATGAAATAGGGATTTGTGGTAAGAGAGTGAAAATTTAGGGTTATGTGTTTTGTATATACGCATTATAAAAAAAATAAATATAGGCAAAAATATTTTTAAAAATTCTTCCGGGTGGCTAACCTTTATTTTTGGTTTCATTTAAAATATGCAAACCCTGTTCGGTGATAGATGTATCGTTTATGAAAGCATAGGACATAAACACACAGGCAGACATCCTTTATTATATATATAATATATACATTCAACTCTTTTAGTTCTTTTATTATAGCTTATGCTTTTCATATTATGTACAATGTAAGTACATGCTCATATTAATAAAAAATTTAAAGTTGAAACTTAACAAGCTTTATAAATGAATGTATTCTCATTCGCTTCTTGGGCGCACCCTACTTCGGCAAATGGGGCATGTTGCATGCATTTGTAACCACGGAAATATGCACTCATCATGGTAGATATGAGAGCACAGTAATTGTCTCACCATTTCGTCCTCTTTAAAATGTTCCCAGCAAATGGAACACCTTAACTTAACCGATGTTTGTTCTGAAGTAATTTTAATGGTCGGTAAAGTAGATATTTGTTCTGGTTCTAAAGGTTGCGGGTCAACACTTTGGTTAAGAAAATAATTTAGTATCTGGTCTAAACCCTCTCTGCTCCAAATGTAATTGGCCATGTTTCCTGAGACCATCATTGCCTCACCCCCGACTGTCATCGTGGTTGTCGATTGGACCAAATGAGCACCACCGGCCGAACTCACGAGGTCATGCAGAAAGTTGACTAACGGAGGATAGTGTTGGTGGTGTGTGCTAGTCCCTCGTTCGGAGTTATGATGATTGCGAGAACCAGGGAAAAGTGACGACACCAAATTTCCCACGGGATCGTCAAAGAAGGAAGGGCCTTCATTTTCCTGGTCATTTTGCTGGCCATTTTCCTCCGCACTCATCTCAACTGGTGGATCTAATTCTTCAACGAATCCACATGCGCAATTTGGGCAAACATATCCCGGATTCATCTCATCGAATTCGCTAGAGCATCCATGACAATAGTACCTTGCAGGAGCTGTCGGAATTTCTTCTACAGCAGCCTCAGCCATAGTTGTAAAAAAAAACTCTGTGGTTTCTGTAATATTTTAACTAATTATTTTCATAACACTCCGCTTACTAGATTAGATATTTTAAATAGGAGTATACAATATAAAATTTAAATATAATATATAATATATATATATATATATATATATGTTTAATTTGAGTTAATAAGGGCGTAACATCAATAACAAATAGTATGAGTTTTTTTAAAAATTTATTTATTTAAAATCCATACGTTTCGGCTAGCATCTTAGCCATCATTCAGTGGTAATCAAGTTAACTATAAAAATTGAAACTAAATAAATTATATGAAAGGAATTTTGTGGGAAAAACAATAATAATAATAATGGTAATAAAACACTTACAATTTTGTATCCTAATATAGCATAGAAACCATTAATGTGCACATACTCATACCATGGATTAATAATGGTTTCATATGCTATATTAGGATACAAAATTGTAAGTGTTTTATTACCATATTATATTATTGTTTTTCCACAAAATTTCCTTTCATTAATTATTTAGTTTCAATTTTTATAGTTAACTTGATACCACTGAATGATGGCTAAGATGCTAGCCGAAACGTATGGATTTAAATAAATAAATTTTTAAAAAAAATCACTATTTTTATTGAGTTACGCCGATTATTAAACTAAATTAAACATATATATCAACATCAAATTCAAGAATATTCAAAAATATATATATAAATATATATTTGTAAATATATATTTCAAAATTGATGTATCAAAATGTTCGTATGCTGAGTGTATTGACATGTGGGCACCATTCATTCCCACATTGTTTATCTAGAAGGTTTTGAATCAAATTTTTGTATTTTTTAAATAACTACACTATTGTAAATTATATATTTTTTATATCAACAGATCTAGATACTAAGTTAAATATTTATAAATAAATTTATATGTATCGTTATTTAACCATAAAAAATTTCTTCATTCCCAATGCCCTCTAATTTAAAACGGATTTCATTAAATTTATTTAGCACATTTGATAATTCAAGATTTAAATATATAATATTATCTTCTTTTCATTAATTCATTAATTTCTGAATTACAAAGCAAAATCTGAATGTTCATTTTGCCAAAGTAGTAAAAGTAAAAAATTAGTAAATTTCCCAAAACACATACTGAAAGCGGTTGAAAATTAATCAATAACTAAGAAATTATTGGGTTATTACGAAAACGTTTTTCACCATTCTAAAAGTTTTATATTGAAAGCAGAACGTTTTTGTCCGTTAGAAATAGTTTAGTCTAAAATAAATTTGTTTGTTGCGATATTGTTTAATTATCACAACATAAACTTAGGGGTCTACATCATTTAATTAAAAATAAGTTAAATTTAGCTTTCCGTAAGTTTAAAAAAATCTTAGTCGAAATTCAGTGAAAAACACTCAGACTGACAATATTCGATTACTAAAATGACTATAACGAAATAGAGGTTCGAAGTAAGAGGGTGAAAATTTAGGGATGTATGATAAAACAAAAAAAATGATCAAAAAAGTAACTTAAGGGCGACCAACCCTCACCACTCAGGCGCATGAAATATAGATGTTGTCCAATTCTCCAAGTCATACTGAATGTGATTATAAATTTTGTTTCATAAAGATTCGTCAAGCCATTTTGGAGAAGAATTACCACTAACATCATGCCACAAAATATATATATAATTATGAGAAAGTTATACTATTGAGTTCTATTTATCGAATGATATTAAAGTTACAAACGGCATGGCCACAAATTATTTATGGTTTATTTCCTGATTTTAGGTCGGACTATTGATGCGAGGCAAAGTACCAAATAAATCGGACTTAAGAAAGACTTTTCTGGGGATTCTACAATCTGCAGCATTTTAACGACAAATGGTTTTACATTCCCTATGTTTTTATGTTTTCTCAGGTTTGTTTAATCAAATTCATATAACCCACAGAAACAATGTTACTCAATATTTTTATTTTATTATTTCAGAAAAGTTTGTGGCAATTACAATATATTGACAGTCTCATACGTGCCTTCGTTTCTTGCATCGTTTGCTGCAATATTACTAGAACGGCCATCTAGACGAAATTTATTATGTTTATATGTATCAAATGAAGCAACAGAAACTGTTTGGAATATGTTAAAGTCTAGGGGATATGTCCGATCTATAAAATATGGAGAAGTGGGAATCTTTTCCATGAGCATTGCTATCTTGTATTATTATAGAAGCAACGACTATTTGAGCAAAGATCAACTTGGACTTGTTTCAAAGTAAATAGACAAAAATGTAATTGAATTATTTTGTCATTTTCAAGGTGATTTGGTTTTCAGATTCGTTGTGGGTCCTTATGAAGCATTTGGATATAGTGATAAATTGAAAAATAAAAGTGAACAAGCAGTATGTGATATAAAAATAGAAAAGCTGCCTTGCATAAAATTAAGTTCATTAAACATTTCAATGAAATGATTAAATCTTTACCAAGGCATAACACTTGTTTGCACCCTGCAAGTTGTATGCATTATGTTACACAGGTAAGATATGTTTGACTTACCTAAACTTTTGATTTAAACCACTTATACAATCTCGATGAATATTGATTCTCCAGTGGCTTTATATTCTTTTCTAGGGATGGTTCAAAATGTTCTCCTTGGGTGTATGCTTTCAATTGGGACTCCGAATTTTCATGCGCATAGGAACAATCGCTAGAAGGCCCAAAGAAATTTCAAATATAATACTCAACAAATCATCATATTCTTTAGCAATGTTTCTTGGTGGATTTACCGGTATTTTTAGAGTAAGATTATACAATTCATTTTGCAATAAGTATTTGAATTTGGAAATCATGAATTAAAATTTTCAGTTATCATCTTGTGTTTTGAGGTGGATCTCAGGGAAAGATAGGCCAGAGCATGCTTTACCTGCAGGTATTTTAGCAGGATTAGCATTTGGTAAATACCGAAGTAATAACATTGCATTATACGTCATGTGGAAAAATGCTTCATGTAAGCTTCTTACTATCTAATTATGATTTGTTCTCGACCTTATGTTTATAATGATATAATTTTTCAGATTTCCTATAATATAGCAGTTTTAAAAGGATTTGTACGAGAAGTACCTGGGTTACTATATTTTTATATTGCTTTAGCACTGCCATTTTATTTCACTGTGCAGTATTAGAACCAACTAATCTTAGACCAAGTTATTGAAATTCTACATTCCCTTTCAGGAGGAAGGTAAT